CCTCTGAAGAACCAGACCCAAGGTAGAGCCTTTCTCAGTCTTTCAAAGTCTTCCTGAGGGTTTGAAGTCCCAGTTCTGAACCTCTTTACACCACAGGAAAGCCGAGAGAAAAATAGTGACTCCTGAGGAAGCAACTTCTCTCTTCCAGCAGCAGAGTACTTTGTGTCCTCACAGAAATTTGTTTTTATTTTTATTTATTTTTCTTCTTTACCATGGGATAGAGATCACTGCAAAATTGTTTGGATTCAGCAGTCACACCTTGGACATTTGTTATTTGATACCAAACGTAAAAATATCTTCCCAGATCACTCTTAACCAACTCCAATGACTCCTACCGTTCCCTGTGGTTCCAACGTCAAAGGGCACAAAAGGACATATAATGAAAAGTCTTCCCCCCATTCCGTGCCAGTCCCCAACGGTACCAAGCACAGGTGTGCGGTCGCACAGCCCCAGGAGCTAGAATCCTGCCTCGCCTCTTAGAAGCTACACAACCTGGGGAGAATTTCTTTACTCTTTTGAGCCCCAGGTTCCTAACCTGTAAGATACTACCCTAACATAGGCCTTGCAGGAAGGCTACAAGAGCTGTAGGAGGTAACTTGTGTTAAACGCTGGGAAATTAGCAAGTCTCTGATCATTCCCCTCAACCCCCAAGGCCATACTCTGGTGCTCTGACTCCCCGCCCCCAGCACTGCATGAGCTCTGCGCATGCGTCTCCCCTGGGCCTGGAATGGCCACGCCCATCTCTCCGGTTCCCACCCCTTGTTCCTCGGTTGCGTCCTCTCAGGCTTCAATTCAAACATGACTTTCTTTTCCTGCGTCCAACACTAAGGAGTTCACGTGGTAGTAATACTCACTGAGTGCCGGTTGGTGGGTGAGGTGGGGGGTAAACCCACAACTGATGGAAGTGGAACGCACTGTATGGGGGAGGGACACACTTGTAGCCCTGGCTAGGGCAGGGCAAACAGCATTACATGTGACCAAAATGTTTGTACCCCCATAACATCCTGAATAAATAAATAATAATAGTAATAATAAAAACATGACTTTCACTGTGAGTTAGGCATTTTTTTGCAATCTCTGCTCCCAAGGGTTCCTTGCATATCCCCGCACATCAATACATTTTGTTCCAGGATGGAGTGGAGTGGCGTGGCAATGAGGGGTTCACAAGTGTGAAGTTTTTTCACCTCTTTATCTCTTGCCCCAATTATATTAATAACTTCTGCCTGGCACACAGTAGATGAATTATAAATGTTGATGAATGAATGAATGAATGAATGAATGAATGAATGAATGAATGAATGAAAAAGCTGTCTTTATTGGTCAGAATGCCCAGAAACTGCAGGGAGAAAGCTGTGGGCCAGGTGCAGTGACTCATGCCTGTAATCTCAGCATTTTGGGAGGCTGAGGAAGGAGGACTGCTTGAGGCCAGGAGTTCAAGACCAGCCTGAGCAACATAGTGACCCCCACCACCACCACCTCCCATCTCTACAAAAAAAAAAAAAAAAAAGGAAAAATTAGCCAGGCATAGTGGCACACAACTGTAGTACTAGCTACGTGGGAGGCTGAAGCAGGAGGGCTGTTTGAACCCAGGAGTTTTGAATTGCAGTGATTGCAGTGAGCTATGATGACCCTACTACACTCTAACTCTAGCCTGGGCAAGACCTTGTCTCTAAATAAATAAAGAATAAAAGGACCAAATTATTTTTTAAAAAAGAAAGAAAGAAAGACAAAGAAAACTATGTACTGGAGTTAATTTTATTTTCATGTTGTTTCGGAGTTCTAGAAATTCTACCTTATTTCAACATTTGTTTCTGAAAATCATTTCAAGAGGACTGAGTCCAACTTGCCTTCTTAGTAACTGGAATACAGTGACTGTGGCCTAATCCTTCTTTGGTTTCAGCTGTGGAAATGTCTCAGAATCTGAAAATCATTGTCCCTGGATGAAGACTGTGGATGTATTATTAATATAAATTGCAGAAAGCAATAGCAATTGAGCTGCATTTGAATGGGCCCCAAGACGTAGCCTGAATCGTTGTATGAACATTTAAGGATGTTTAGATTCTGATTATTGAGGTTTTATTATAATGCTGTATTGTACATTAAATAGTGATTCTATTAAAGATTTTGAAGCTTAGAGGCTCAAAAATTAAATTACCTATTATTTTATTTTTTTAAGTGATCTAGGCCTGGTTCCTAGCCCCTGAAAATCTCCTCTATTCACTGCTGGGGCTAATAATTTCCAGCTTTAGGTCACCTTTGCTGGTCTGCATTATCAATCATGACTGGAAGTAAGAAGGATTTTTCAGAAGTTTCAGCTCCATTCACAGTTGTCATTTAATCTTGTGTTATTAATACTTCGTGCTCTGCTGCTGGGTCTCATTCTTCTTCCTGCATCTGAGCCTTGACTATAACCTGTTTGGCACCTTAGTTTCCAGGACTGGGAACCCATCTTATTTCTGTCCATCTCTTGCTCAGGACAGATGCCCCCCAGACCTCAGTCCACTATGCTTTGTCTGTTGGACCAAACCACGGGACTAAATTCTTTCCAGAGCTTGTCCCACATTGTTCAATAATTCATTCAACAGACAAGTGAGGGCCCAATACTGCCAAGCACCAGGTCAGGAAGGCCACAAACATTAAGTTAGCATGGGTAAATTATAGGCAAAGAAAAACAGGCACAGAAGGAATGAAAATAGCCCATTGTCACAAAGTGCATACAGCTGGCAACAGGAGTTGAGTCTGGGAATTGTCAGCAGCTTGAAGGCAAGATTCAGGTTTGAGTCACTTTTGTTCTCAGGCTATAGACCTTCAAAGAAAGGGACAAGGATATGATGCTTTAAGACTGTATTTCATGTCTTGGCTACTGTGAATAAAGCTGCAATGGACATGGGAGTGTAGGTATCTCTTTGAAACCCTGATTGAAATTTTTTTGGATATATTCCCAGAAGTGGGATTGCTAGCTCATATGGTAGTTCTATTTTTAAGTTTTGGAGGAATCCCCATGATGTTTTCCAGAGTGGCTGTAGCATTTTACATTCCTACCAACGATGTGCAAGTGTTTCCTTTTTTCCACATCCTCACCAACACTTGTTATCATTTGTCTTTTTGATAATAGCCATCTTAACAGATATAAGATGATATGTCGCTATGGTTCTGATTGCATTTTCCTGATGATTAGTGATATCGAGCACCTTTTCATATTACCTGTTGGCTATTTGTATGCCTTCTTTGAAGAAATGTCTATGCAGGTTCTTTGTTCATTTTTAAATTGAGTTCTTTGGGGTTTTGCTATTGAGATATAGGACATCCTTATATATTCTGGATATTAGATCTTTATCACATATATGGTTCGCAGATCTTTTCTACAATTCCATAGGTTTCCTTTACCTTTTGGGGATTGTTTCCTTTGCCATGCAAAAGCCTGTTAGTTTGACTTAATCCCATTTATATATTTTTGCTTTTATTGCCTGTGCTTTTGATGACATAGCTAAGAAATCATTGTCAAGGCCAATGTTAAGATTTTCCCCTATTTTTTCTTCTAGGAATTTTATGATTTCAGGGTTTGTGTTTTAATCTGTAATCTACTTTGAGTTGATTTTTGAATACATATATGTGTTTAATTTCATTTTTTGCATGTGGATATCCAATTTTCCCAGCACTATTTTATTGAAGAGACTGTCCTTTCTCCATTATGTATTCCTAGCACCCTTGTCAAAGATCAGTTGACCATAAATGGGTGAATTTATTTCTAGGTTCTCTGTTCTATTGGTCTATATGTTTTTAGGCTAGTACCATACAGTTTTGATTACTATAGTTTTGTAATATATCTTGAAATCAGGAAGTCGTGATGCCTCCAAATGTCCATCCAGAGATGAATAGACAAAGAAAATGTGGTATTTATATACTAATAAATATTAATTAGCCTTAAAAAAGAAAGGGATCCTGCTATGTTTGACAACATGGATGAACCTGAAGGACATTATGCTAAGTGAAATGTCCCAGACACATTAGGACAAATATTATATGATTCCATTTATATGAGGAATCTAAAATAGTCCAATTCATAAAGGCAGAGAGTAGAATGGTGGTTTCCAGGGACTGGGGGAGGGGGAAATGGGGATGTGCTGGGCAAAGGGTACTAAGTTTCTGCCATGCAAAATGAGTAAGTTCTAAAGATCTACTGTATAAAATAGTCCCTATAGTTAGCAATATGGTATTACATACTTAAAATTTGCTCAGAGGGTAGATCTCATGTTATGTGTTTTTATCACAAAAAATAAAGAGGGCATGAGGAAATTTTTGGAGGTGATGGATATGTTTATGGTATTGATTGTGGTGATAGTTTCAAGGCTATATACTTATCTCCAAATCAATCAAATTGTATACATTAGATATGTAAAGACTTTCACATGTCAATCATTATCTTAATGATTTTTTTAAAAAAACAACAACTGTATTTCACATGAATAATAAATGTGCATTGAACGACCTAAGAAACAGACAAATCCAGGCAGCCACATTTCCACAGGAAACCTTACATAACTAAGGAAAAACTTGTTACAGGATCTCATGCTGAGCATGCCTTAAAAAGCACAGCGGGACATCCCCATATGACATTCTTTTGTGCCACCAAGTGAAGACTCTTGCTTGGTGATTCTACTTGGACTTCAAGACTGCAAACTCATGTGTTTAGTTCATTTCAAGGGGAATGAGATAGAGACCCAGGAAGGTGGCTAGACTGGGACCATTTCATAAGTATCACTGTTTCTCAATGATGGATGAGTATTTTGTTCTTTGTCTTTATGTTGCCTCATGTTTGTCCATAGATGCCATATATGACAATTAACCTATCTGGCTAAAAATGTGTGGCTATATTCTTAAGGAGCTCTCAGCCCCTGCAGCAATAGTAAGCAGTATTATAATGTGTCGAAATAATTGTAATTGATTAAAATAGTTTCAAACTGCAAACATATCATACCCAAACCCAAGGCCATGGCTACCTGGTGGCAAGAAGAGGGTATGTGTGAACTGGGCTGAACCAGGCTTCCTTCCTCCGTGGCATGCTGTCATAGATTAAAAGGTCTTTCTCCGTCAGTACAACCAGGGCTGGTTTCCACTGTTTCTCGCTCTCCCCTGGCACCTGAAACAGAAAGCAGAGAACTGTCGAACAACAGCCCGAGAAAAGGGTGATTCGAAAAGAGAAGTTGGAATCGCCCCAATCAATAGACCTAACAGCAGGAATGTCTTTTGATTCAGGTTACAAAATCAAAATGGAAAGCACCCAATCATGATCTCATGATTCCTGATTCTTGAAAATATCTGTTGTCTCAAGGGCCCTGGGGATATATAGTCAGGACAGCCAAGCAGCAGCCCAGCTGCCACTGTTCCTCACCTGCCAGTCAGCCCTGAATCTTTACTTCATAGTGGGAGGCAAAGGCTTGGGGGAAAAGGCACTCCGAGCTGATTCTCCGGTGCAGTGTGTTTGTTTTTTATTATGGTAAGGTTTTAAAGTTTTTGAATAAATATCCCAAAGCTCTGAGAACTGTACTATGGAGGCAAGTGTCTACCCAGACAGGGCGAAACATCATAGCCTCTTCCCCGAGTCTTGGGTTCTATGATTCAGGCGCCTTCTTGACATTTCTCTTGTTCTGCTGAATGTTCAGTTCCATTCACCACAGATAATTCTTTAACTCGAGGGCTGAGATGACCTGGCTGGCATGGATGTGACAGGATTAAAGCATCAGTAGGGATCACTGGGCCAAATGACCTTTAAAGTCTCTCCTAATCCAGAGTCTGTGTAGCTTGGATCTTATCTCATGAGCCATTTTCCTTGGCCCAGTGTTTACGACCTAAATGGTCTTCCAGCAATGAAAATGCTCTGCCTCCAAATTTGAACTATAGACCCCTGGAATAGATCCTTATGCTCGTTTTAGAAAAACTCAATGTTTTAGCTCAAGACACAGGCTCAAGACACAGTGCTTTAGCTCAAAACACTCAAGACACAGGCCATAGTCCAGTAGCATCAGCATCACCAGGGAGCCTGTTAGAAATGCAGAGTCTCAGGCCCATCCAGCTCTGCTGAATCAGAATCTGCATTTTAACAAACTCTTCAGGTAACTCGTACACTCATTACAGATTAGGGAGCACTGCTCTAGATTAGGTTAAGATTATCTTTGACACTGGCAACTAATTCAGTGAGGATTCAATCCTTTCATAATAGGCTGCAACTCAAAATCTATTCAGAATTAACCTAGGCAGTGGCTAAATAAATGATAACACCAATTCCTTCCCTTTCTGTTCTTATTATTACTTTAAGTTCCACAGCAGCATCTGTACTGAGGTGGAAGCTTGTGTGTGTGGCTTTTGCTTTAAGCTAACGCTCAAGACCAGTGTACTAGGAATGAGTGATGCAAGTAGGGATGATGTGAAGGATGGCATAAGGATTGAGTTTTGTGGGTTCTACATTTTGGCTGCCTGAGTCTGAGTCCCAGCTCTGTTGTTTATTGCCTGTGTGACTTTGGACAAGTTATTACTCTCTGTGCCTCCATTTCTCCTTACTTATAAGAATAACATCAAATACAACCATGGGGACAAGAGCCGACTCTGGAGTTAGATAGAAGGCCTGAACAGGCCAGGTGTGGTGGCTCATGCCTGTAATCCTAGCAGTCTGGGAGGCTGAGGCAGGAGGATCACTTGAGGCCAGGAGTTCAAGACCATCCTGAGCAAGAGCGAGACCCCATCTCTACAAAAAATAGAAATATTAGCCGGGCATGGTGGTATGCAACTGTAGTCCCAGCTACTTGGGAGGCTGAAACAGGAGAACTGCCTGAGCTTAGGAGTTTGAGGGTGCAGTAAGCTACACTGCACTCTAGTTGGGCAAAATAGCAAGATTCTCTTTCTCCAAAAAAAAAAGCCTGAACATAATGAACACAAAATCAGTGTTTCACTAGCTGTGGGGTTTGGGGCAAGTCAAATAATTTCTTTGTATCTCGGTTTCCGTGTCTGTAAAATGGGAAATAATGGTACCTATAACAGAGGGCTGTTATAGAGATTAAATGAGTTAAAATTTGTAAAATGCTCAGTGCAGTGCAGAACAAGCAGCATGCAAGTATCTGCTAAGTAGCGCTTACCTCAGAACGCTACAGTGGGGATGAGACCGCATGTGAAAGGTGCCTTTGGCATGGCAGCTGGAAGACGGTGAAGCCCTCAGTAAAACTTAGGATAGCGAAATTCTGGCAGACCCACCAGTTTTTAAACAAGTCAAAAAAGGTGTTCTTTGGGAAATGTCATCGTGATGACAAGGCAATGACTTTCCTTTGGAAAAATTACAAGGTAAGTCAAGAATATCTTTGGTGCTGACAATTTCAATATCTTCTCCTCCCATCCTTTCCAAAGTTCTCCTGGTAAGAACTCATTGCGTGATGATAAGCTTTATAGTTTAATGCCTTCCTTCCAACAATTCCAAACAAAAACTCCCTTTCTAAAGAAGAGATTTCCCCACTATAAAGCTATGTATACTAGAATGTTAACGACTACCTGACTTATTCCCTCCTCTTTATGCATTTAATATACATTTTAAAAATCTAGCTTTAACTTATTGCTTTTGTAAGAAGGCTTCTTTCTCCCCACACACCCAAGAGAACAATAGCATCTTCAAGAAATCAAAATCAATCATTAAAGAAGGCAATGTACCAGACCCTACAAGGTGAATAAACTATGGTCTCAAGGGATAAAGTGTTTTTTGGGGGGGTTCCCCAATAAATTTTTTCCAGCTTCTACATTAAACTTAGTAAATTGCTTTTCTAGCTCATTTAACAGGATTGGAGAAGCTACAAATGATTCTCCCAAAGTGACTATCTTACTTACCTAGTCAGATCTGATCCATTAACTTTGGCCAGAATCACTCATTTAAATGTAAAAATAACTGAACATCATTCTTCCAGAACAATATTAATTTTGAAAAATAAATCTCACCAGTAAATACCAACAGTAAAATGCAGACCTATTTACTGGTGGAATCACAAACTCACCCACATATCACGTATATGTTTAATATGTAGGTTGAAATAATTCCCGAGCCCTAAAACATTTTGTAGATTGTTGAAGAGCCCTGTGTGGATATGATAAACTCTGCAGTGAGAATACTTAGAATGGGTATTTCTCACCATTCCTGTGTGCAGAGCTGTCATTTTAATATTATGTAAATGCTTAGGGGTAGAAGGCTTCCCATGAGGACAAACGAATTTCCGAGGGGGGGGGGGAAACATCATGGTAAAGAACAAAGTTTTTAAAAGCATACCTTGTGCTATGTAAGCCTCATTATTTCAAGCCTTTGAAGAATAATTTTTTGCCAAGCTCAAGTATTTGTGATATTATCCTAGTGACAACTTCCATTACAAATCCAGTTTTCCTGGCACCCAAAGACATTCCAATGTTAAGGCAACAGTTCTGGGGTTGTGTCTTCACTTTTTAAAAATATGACACCTGAAACAGATGTGAAGTGTCCATCTCTGTCCCAGCTTCCTTCCCTAGATGCTGTAGTCATCAGTTTGTCAAGAACTAATCATGTTCTAATGAAGAAGATGAAGGAAAGGAAACAGAGAAACTAAAAACCATTCAATTCTGAAATTATTCCCAAGCACAACTTTGGTGAGCTAAATCCCGTCCGCATATTCACTTCTGCAAAGCATGAGAGGAAGGGTTTACAAAATGGCAAGAAGAATTTAAGAGGTGGTGGTAAGAAGTTACTGGTAAGAATAGTTGGGAAGTGGAATCATTAAATCCTCGATCTGAGACAGGTCTCGTAAGTCATCTAGGTCAGTGGCTTCCAAACTCTTTAAATTCATTGATCCCTCTGTTCAGATTAAATCACAAGTCATAGAACAATACGTAAAACAATTGAAAGAGAGTTCTTATGGCGTTACATCCTGGCTGGGATCCTGGCACCTGAATGACTTTATGTCTTTATCCTACCACTGATACCTCTGAGTGTCGTTGCTAGCAACCCTTAGAATACAATTTGAAAACTCATCTTGTCCTTTCTAAAATACCTAGAATCTTCACATTACTTCCAAAGTTTTACCAAAACCTTTTTGTGCCTCTTTTGTAGGTAACTTCCAAAGAAAAGAATGATACCATTGCCTCTTAGGCAGAGTTGTAAGGATTAAATGAATTAATACACACAGAGGGCTTAGAAAAGTATCTTGCATATAATTAGTAGGCAAGCCTTAAGATATATCAGCTATTTTTTACTATTACATTAAGGTAAGAATAGTGAACATCAAATTAAAGGTCTGACTGAACTTGGGCAAGAATTACTTGCCTTTGCCGGGTCAAAATGTCCTCATTTGCCAAATGATGGGACTGAATTATTGCTAAGGCTTCTTCAACTTCAAAACCTAATCATTTTTTTAAGTTTAAAATTTCCTGCTACTAGGCCAGCTGGAACTGCTTCAGCTATTAATACTAGAACTCTTCCTTTACAGCTCTTCTTTGTTCAGTATACTCTGTTCCTAGAGCAAAAAAACAATGTATGGGTCTATTTTTCCTGCCCTCATACCAACTCACTCTTCCCAACAAACTTACTTTCTATTTTCTGCTTGAGAACGCATGGCAGGAAGAGCTCATAGTTTTTAGAGCCAAACAGTATGTCTTCAAAATCTGGCTCTGCCACTTCCCAGCTGATTACTTAACTCAGCTTACTTAACTGCTATAAGCACTTGTTCACTGACACGTTACTCAATGAGAATGGCCTCCCATGCACATTTTGTGAAGATCAAATAGACAATGTGTATAAAGTACTTGCTGCATGGTGGGTCCACAAAATGTGAAGCTGCTTGCCTGCTCACCTCAAGTGCGCTCTTTCTTGCAGCTCTACTAAGCAGGAAGAAAGGTGTAGATGGAGGGGCAGTGACTAATACAGAGTGGAAAATTTCATGAAAGAAGAAGGTCCATTGCAACTTTTGTGTTGGAGATCACGGTGATCTCAACAACTCTTTACTTTGATTCTGTTTCACCTCAGGTTGCTGAGTATTTAGAGCAAAGGACACAATATCAGTGTAATAATAATTAACACTGATTAACTTCCTAATGCTTTACAAACAGTAGATAATTAATCCTTGTACCAACTCCCAGGGAGACAGATAAAGATTATCTCCCCCTAACCACAAGAAGAAAAGGAACAGCATTTCGATGTGGCCACAGGAATTCAGGGAAAGTGTTAAGCAAGACCACT